TAGATCCAGCGTTGCTATCAATGGGAATACAATTCTAATCAAAAGGGAGCTTTCAGAAAGAGTACAGAAATAAAATACTCATAAGCTGCTTTGTAATGTGTTCAAGCCCAGCTGGACGCTCTGCCGCTGGTTAACCGTGCACTTTCAATTATTCCACGCTCCGTCTTTGATCCAGAAAAAACCGTGGAACGATTTCTTACAGGAGGGTGCTTGCAGTTGTGGCTGTTCAGTAAAGGGCATGCATTCGTTTGTGCAAAGCAAAGAAAAAAGTCAGAGATGGTGGCAATAGCGCTGCAGGGGGCAACGTTTAGTTCAATGAAAGCGCATGGATTTAAAAACGTGTCGTTCGGTGCCGTGCCTGGGCGTTCGTCTGCCTCCCTCTGCTGGGCTGCGAGCGCACGCCTTCCTCTTCCTCGCCCGGCAGCTCTGAGCGCCTTGGCGTGGGCGGGCAGCTGCTTGCCCGGGGACGTCGCTTCTGCAGGCTTCGTAATTTCTTTTTTTTACAGGCTCCTGCTCGAATTTCGGATTTCTTTCTGTAAGTCCACAGAGCGCCAGCCTGTTCACAGAGGTCAGTTGGTCAGTAATGCCCAGTGTCTTCGTGGCAAGCCAGTCTCGGATCTGAGATTAAGAAATAGGATTTTGATTTTCGGGGCTGTACGCACAATTACCGTTCATCTCTGTAGGCGTTCTGCACCCATCCGTGCCGCTGAAGGCTCGGAAACTCTAGTCTATCATGCTATTAGGTCACCTTGCAGAGCGCTGGCTTACGTTCTGCTAATTTCAAAGGTATTTCAAAGGCAAATAGCTAAATATCTCTGAAACTGATTGCTCAGAGCTTCCTTTCCCGTTTAATTACACCGTGTCCCATCCAGTTGTACTCATAAAAACGTGGAACCGTCTTAACGATAGCAGAGAATCCGCTTTCCAGCCTGAAAACAACGTCGATTGTAATGCGGCGCATGGCTCATCGCGGCTGAACGAGTCCCATGCTACTGCTTTCCCGCTGCTGCTCTCCCGCTTTGTGTTCTTGATGGGATTTGGAAGCAGAAGTGGGTTTTCCATTTAGAGTTTCACAATTAGTGTACGCCAAGTTTGGTGCAAAGTTCAGTTCTCTTGCAAAGAGCAGCCATTACTTGGCAGTCCCTCCGTCGGCTCCTGGCTCCGCTCCCCGTGTCTGCTGGGGGGGGCGGCTGCCAGCAGAGCTCCTGGAGCCGCTCAGAGTTTGCATCGATCGAAAGGGGATAGCTGAAGAAAATTCACCCGAGTTAACTTTCCCAAATAAGAGCAGTCGCTGGGGTGGGGTGGGTTTTTTTTTTTGGTCAAGGTTTTTAAAAGCTTTCAAGATAATAACGTTGAGGTGTTTTTGTAATTGTTTTTATTTCTTGTTTCACTCTGTGAAATGAGGCTTAAAGAGCGCTATCAGGTAAGCTTGGTCTGTTGGTGGAATGAAGGCGCTGAGGAATGAGGTGTGTGTCTCGAGAAGTCGGGGCAGCAGTCAGGACCGTCTTCAGTCCTGCGCTTCGGTTAGCAGGGAGCGTACCCCGCGAGCTCCCGTCTCCAGCTGAAAACTGAAGGAAAAAACCAACGTTCCTCTCGCAGTACCTGTACATAACCCCTTAATGCATATTTCACTTTGGTTGGTGTTCCACTCTGTTCGTAATGAACAAGTGTTAATTGCTTGTAACAATACAGGTAGTAAATAGTATTGGCAATATAATTATTATTGATACAGTTATAATTAAAATGTAAACTGTAGGTTCGAGGGGAGTTCCAGCTGCATGAGACGGCCACGTGAAGTATAGGAATAACACCACCTTATCATCTATGAAAGATGCATAGAGATTTCTTAGCTTTCTTTATACATTGTCAGACTTGCTTGCAAATTAATAATTATTTGATGTTTTACATTCTTAAAAGCTTTTTTTGGCCTAATTTTTTTTGAACAGTAGCTATTCAATGTCTTTGGATAAGGCCTTTTAGAAAGGATATTTTGTTAATACTGTCTTTTAAAATATTTCAGCAATTAGGGCTCAAAGATACATCATGCTGACTCTTTTTAACTTCCTCTTTCGCAAGCCAGCATAGTGATTAAAACGCCACTAAATGTCATGCCTCCTGTTTTATAAACAACATTGAATGTTTTGCTTAAAAATGTCAGGGAACACGGCAGTACCAGGATACTAACCCCTGGGCGCAGGAGCGCGCGTGCCGTCACGGCGGTCGGGGCCGCGGCGCCCGCCAGCGACGCTGTGCTCTTCCCTTACGCCTCTTCTCTCCCCCGAGGGTTCGTGTAGTAGTGGGTGTCTCCCACTACCTGCCTAGTTTGATTACCCACGACCTAAAGGCCGAACAAAGACACAGCTAAAATCTGCTTTCAAGTTGGTTTTTATCCTTAGGATTTGCCCATCTGTGTGGTGAGAGAACATCTCATTATGCGGAGGGCTTATTGGCATGAAGTTTGCCTCTGAGGCTTGCGATAACCCTTCAGTTCCTCTGCTGCCAGAGCAAGCACGGCTGATGCAGTTACAACATGCCGTTCGCTCACATTCGTGCATGCAGAAGACGTGAAATGCGAGCAAAGCCGATAGTCGTGGAGCTCCCTGTAAGAGGGCTGGGAGAAGCCCGAGTGCGACGGGAATTGCCGCATCCACAGTTGTATTGAGAGCGCAAACGAGCTGCTGATTAGAAGGAACGGTCCTGCAGTGGTCATAGAGGAATTTTTGAAGTATCACCCATTTAATCAAAAAATAAGTTATTCTAGTACAGAGGAAGTCCTTACGTCAGTGGTCTACCTAGAACGTGTTAACTGCTGAAATTGCGGTGGCCTCTCCACCTGATCTGACCCATTACAATAGATAGCTTGCGTGTTTGCTGTACCTTACAACCCGTTTTCAGAGGGCTGCCCCCCATTTTTTAAATTTCTACTTCTGGTGGAATTTTAGGATTTTTATTTGGTAGCCTTTAAATGATTCTGAGGTTCTTGTATTTGCTTCTCATGAAGAAATTGGAAA